CTGCCCCGTTCTCCCCAACCTGTTGCTTGTGACGATACCTCAGTCGGTCACGTGTTGGTGTTCTCGTTCATCCAGAGGTTCTTCCCCAACTTCTTCCCGTCCACCTACACGGACCGGAGACAGAACTTGCTCAAGATGTACACCGAAGTCGAGAAAAAGGTGAATTACAGCAGTACCTACAGCATAGTCAGCTCCGGCATACTATGAATATGTATGCGGCGAAATATTGAAATGGTTTTCGTCCGGAGCTGAGGCAAGGCAACGCTGTTGGCGAGAGGGAAACCAGCCCGCGTTGTCTTTGATTGGTACTGTGGGACACTCGGGACGCGCGGTTTTACACGGTACCTACGCAGGACCCGTGGGATCATCCCATGCGCAGGACCCCCTGACGACGCGCGACGCGTCTTCCCTAATAGACCTATAGACGGATATCCTACAAGCTAAGGGCTTACGAGATTGCAGGAAATGCAATCCTGATGTTCTCGTGAGCCTAGCGCCCTTTTTGTCGCCGTTCATCCGCCCGTACACCTCGCCTCGAAGCTAGACTTGCACCTACGGATAGCCCTGTGTTGCGAGGGCCTGTGTTGCGAGCGCTCTCCCGGCGTGCCGCGCGCTCTCGGGGCAGACTGCGTGCAGCGCTTGCGAGGGCAGAAAGTCGCGTCTCCGATATCTACCATGGATCCACCAATCACGCCCCGATTTCTTGACAGTGCAGACCATTCATATATTCGGCAGGCGGCTGACGTGGTGCGTGTGCGCTGGCTACACGCTACACACCCTTATTACCACACTCGCCAACCAAGCCACCAAGTCTCCGCATATGACACGAGACAAAGTACTCTGCCGCTGTAGTGCGTCTCCCTTTCGATCCCGGCGAAGAGCGGGGGGGCTGGCGGCCGGTGTCGTGCGCACAGCTGTCTGAAAAACTACACCCGCCCGAGATGCAAAAAAAACACGACGTCGGTTGTTTGCTCCTCCGTTTCATGCAAGTACTTTTGTTTATTTTTTTGCGGAAATATCTTCTGGCTACCTACCTCACCACAATAGCCGCAGTTCGTTGTAGAGGGACTATAGGGACATGCTCCGCACCCCACGAACTCCCACCAACACACAGCCCTCTACAGCAACCATCTGACTCCCAAACCCTCTTGCAGAGCATATAGCAACACTACTGCTGCCGTGGGTTGCCATATGTTCATAAATCGGCAATAGTTGTCTAATTTTCTCTGCTTTACGCTGCAATTAAGAACTGCCGTACGGAACGACTTGCGCTGCTTTTCCTCGCCTCCCGTACTCAACCTCGATTCTCACCACCGACGGCTGTACATCAGATCACATACGAAGACCACTCACCNACATAGGCCGGTGAGGTGGCGTTTTCGGACATCCTGGGAGCGAAAGTGGTCGCCAAGAGAGATAGAGAGAGAGAGAGAGAGAGAGAGAGAGAGAGAGAGAGAGAGAGAAGCCGTTTGTTTGGTGTATCGTTCTTAGTTTTATCATTCGACACACTCCCCCCCGGAAGTAATCCCTCGTGTCTTACGATTAGCAGAGTATTTTAGGGGTCGCTCCGCTGTTTGCTTATCGAGACGATTTTTCTATTGTGTGGCCTACAGTTTGAGCTATTATGTTACTTAAACCTATTGCCTATTGTCCTATTTTCTTCGAAAATTTCTTACTCCAAGTAATCAAATACTCTGTCCTCCGGCCGTCGCATAACATATGAATTTATTCATTGTCATGTGCGTGTCTTCTCTTCGAACAAACAAACGACTTTTATTCATTGTCATGTGCATGTCTGCTCTTCGAGCAAACAAACGACTTTTCCTTTGCACCATTTTTTCTTATCTTTTTTTTCTTAACTCCACCCGCACACACTTGCCATCGCCATTCAACCGACGAGCGTAGCGGCGACCGCGAAGCGCCCTTGTACTAATAACAAACATGAAGAGAGAGTACAAAGCAAAGAACCACACACGCACGCGCATTGTATATATACACTTGAAGAGGTCCTCCTATCCGGGTTCCATTGCCTGTACTGTACCATCTCTACCGCTAGCAACCCCTATACCTGTTGCGTCGCGATAAGATCTTAAGAGAGTCTTTGCTTCGGGGTTGCCACTGGCGGCTGGCTCGTGTCGCCCTTCCCTCTTGTGTTTGTCTATCGGGTGTCAACTCTCCTCGACATTGCTCGGGCAACAGCCAGCTGGGCTTCAGGATTTGTTTCGAGATTCGTAAAAATCTATCTCTGGTCTCTCTTGCAACGGACTTATATTCTGTAATTGAGCGCTTACTCTACCCCCCCCCCCCCCCCNCCCCTCCTCGGTGTTTGCCATCGGGGTTGGGTTTTCGTCGCTTGGCAACGACGTTGTAAAACAAGCCAATTCACGTCGATATTTTTTACCTCCGTTTTTTTTTTCGGCGGTAACAGTAATGGTGGTCGAGTAGATCATGTTGTGCGGGGTGGAGAACCCTCACTCCGCGCAAGGGGGATGATCGCACCACGTTGTGTTAAAATGGTCAAGCACCCTCGAGGC